TTATAACATAAGAGTCGCTTCCGTCAAATGTATTTGGATATAAAGAATATGTGTTTTCATAAAATGAAAATAATTATCCTTTTGAATGAAGTCGTTATTCGCAAGAATTTGCTGATCTATTCATTTTATAATTAGTTTTATGATCTTTTAAAAGCATTTTAGAGACACTAATATGAAAGTGATTTTTGAAAGAAGGTAAGTAAGTCTCTTCGGTCTATAATATTATATCATTTGTCAACAATTTTGACATTTGGAGCACACATTTCAATAGATAAACACCAAAATAAAACTCGTGTTTGTTTTAAGTAAAAAAAAGTGCTGTCGTTTGGGATATTCTCAATGATCTTATTTATAGCTCTCATAATTATTGTTAATTATCTGTCAGTTATAATCAATTGCTTATGCAATAAATTTACAAATATTAATTTGATAATTAAGTCTATGAGTAACCACTTTAAAAGTGTGATACATTAGTTTATTTAATTTTAAAAAAAACTTTATAATAAACAAAGATTAGCTACGATTTTTATTAATTAAATTTTAATTAACAAATAAAACAACAAAATAGTTTTTAAGTGTTTTTATTGTCAAAAATCAAGTCAACAAATAATGCCATTTAGACGTGAATATTGAGTAAATCTTTGATTTCATGCGAATTACATCTATCCTTATGGACGACAAGCGCTTCATTTATTTTACACAAATTGCAAAATAACTTCTCTTTGCATTCGCCAATCTTCTCATGTCTTTGGGTATAAATGTATTTCTCGGCATTTCTGGACACCTCTTTGAACTGATCCCTATTGGGAATGTCCACCGCCTTTAACTTATCAGCGGTAGTGTACAGCGCTTTAGGTAGAAGATACCGGGCTAGGTACAGACGGTTTACTAGTCTGTATGTGAAGAGCCGCTAGTTCACAAACGTCTTCTCAAGTCACAAAACGTGCCTAACGTCAAGGCAAAGGTCTGGCCACTCCTTACTCTTGTCCAACTTAGCATGCTCAATTGCCATAAACTGTCCCACAGCCTCTTTGATCGCCTTCACAGCCTCGTGAGTGGGAATGGTCTGCGACAACACTTTGTCAATGGCGGCGATCTGTGCGTCCACTGACACCGGATTGTACTTCGAGAAGAGGGTCAGTCCATCTCTGGTCTCCTGGAGGAAGGCTTTGTCGAGTTTGACGCGAACCGCTTCCACCACTTGAGCCTTCTTAACTCCGGCGACGAGATTGTCGATTGGCTTGAGATTACCGCCGAAGAGCCAGGGATCGCGCGGAACCGTTTCCCACCACTGGGCCCACGAGTTGTTGTCCTTCAAGAGGTTAGCCTTTCCGCCGTAGAAAGCGGTGAACACTTCGGAGTCCTGTTTGAACTCTCGGCTCACATAGAACAGGAGAGGCAGCATTGGCGGGAATTAGAACTGCTGGCAGTCTTTGCTGCGGAGCCGCAAGTGAAACTACAGAAAAAGGCTGTAAAAATCCAAGTCTAATCTGCAGTTAAGTTAGCTGACAACAACGTATCCGCCAAAGAAAGCGCTGTCGAAGTAATGGGTGCCAAACGTGTCGACAAACTCTTGATATTTGGCCGGATTTGCGGCATAGGTTTCCGGTAATATATTTTCCACAAAGTCTGTGAACTCTTTGTTTGGCGTTATCTCATAGTATGGACTCATATCGACGCGAATTGCAGACACAAATGCCGACACCTATTCAATGCAATATACGGTATAACTATAGCTATTAATAACAATTTTATAGCAGATAATTAAAACTTATGTAAAAATGCAAATTTAATGACCTCGACAATTGATTTGGTAGAGTTGACCAGTTCTTCCTGAGCCTTCTTATACCCGCCACTGATAGCGTAGGCGCCGTAAGCGACTGTATTCGCGTCCAAACCTAAATCAAATGCTTTCGACTTCTTATAGTCATCGGAGGTCTCAATGATGGAGGCCTTAGTGTTGATGACACCGCCGGGCAGAGTGTTAATGGTGTCGACCTGATCGGGAATGTCAAACACAAGGCTCGGGTCGTACGGGTGCTAGACTTCTTATAGTCATCGGAGGTCTCAATGATGGAGGCCTTAGTGTTGATGACACCGCCGGGCAGAGTGTTAATGGTGTCGACCTGATCGGGAATGTCAAACACAAGGCTCGGGTCGTACGGGTGCTGCCATTTCTTGCCCTGTTTGCAGGTCAGAGAGACCAGCGCTCTCTGGAAGCCGTTGGACTGGGCCAAGTCGGCCGGTGACAGATCCAGTTTTGTCACATCAATACCTCTCACCATACGCTGTATTCCCGACGGAAAGTTAAGGCACTGATCGCCCGCTTGTGTCGACCCAATGGCCACCGCTATTAAACACACGAGTCTAACAATATTAATCATTTTGTTAATAATAAAAGACAATTAGTTTATTATGACCGTCGCTTAAATACCATCATCATTGCAGCGATCAGTCTTATGGCTCAAACATCTGTCACATTTTACATGAAGTTTGATTACAATTATGATTCCCACACAAAAACAGTGATAACTTGAGGATTATTGTATCCGCAAAATAAGTTTTTGCAAACTTTTTGTCAATAAATCATGATTTTTAGCTTTTGATGAATATTTTTTTTAAATAATTTCCCAATAAAGGTTGTTTTATTAACTAAAAATTAAGCATTCATCTTACACGCCAATGTAATATAATTAATTTGTACATTGATACATTAATTAACAAAAACAACACTAATCAGCATATTTTAAGATTAATTAAAAATTATATTTATGATAACAATTTAAGTCATATTACATAAGAAACAATACGTGTGTTTTTTAACCAAATGGCATTTACCCCATAAATTATCACATAATAATAGATTGATTGTACTTATTATTGAAATTCTATGTCTGTTGAGATTCTTGAGTCCAGATATGATTTTGAAGAGTCAAATGATTGATAGATTTGAATGCATTAATTGTTTCACAATCTGTTTTTCTCTCTTCTTATTGATCGAAATGACATATTTTAAGGCCAAAAGTACGAAACATAAGGCCATTAGTTGTGTGACAATAAAAATGGCAAAACTATCCCTATGTTTGATGAATGGGAAGAGTATCTCCCAAATGGTGAGACCAGTCATGAATGCGATACCCATCGGGTGTTCGCGTAACACAACGTATATGAATACGGCTATAGAGATGAACAGCAAATACGACAGCATTATGTTAATCAGTGTTTGAAAGTTGTCGAGCAAAACACCGTCGATGTTATGGCCGTAATCGACGTACAGTTGCGACAGTCGGCCGTAGTTTTGGCTCTTTTGGGTCAAGAGGTAAACGCATACAAATCCGGCGGTCATTAGTTTAAAGCCAATTAATAAAGTTTTAATGAGCTTTGAATTGCACTCATAATCTGCGCTCAGTTGCGACGGTTTCCCAAAATCTAGATAACTTTTCATGACTTGTTTGAACAAAAACAACAAAATTTTCAAAACACTTTTTGGGCAGAAACTTGAAAAAATAAACTAAACTAAAACGCTGTGAAGTGCTATGTGTTTAAGCGATGATAAATTTGAGTTTTTCTAGCCTTTCTGCAAATCTAAACATTTATACACATTATTATTAGTGGTATTATAATAATAATAATTTGCAAAACTAACTCGTGTTCATTCGGTTGTATATATGATTTCAATGCCGTTTGTTTGCATAGCATATGTTTGAAGCATATGTTCTTCTAAACGAATTAATGATATCTGGTTTGAGATGTTTATTGTATTTCATTTCAAAAATACTTTTAAATTATTTTCACTGCATTTGAGCGAAATTAATGAACACATTTGTTCAGGTATTAAAACATTTTAATCATTTGAAAAATACTTCATTTCATGATAACAAACACTTAAATTCATTAATTTATAATTCAATACTTTATACAATTAAGTGTATCAAAAGTGTTATTCAAAAATCAAACTGAAATTACTTATCAGTGATAAGTAATTAATGCTTAACATAACATATTCTCCCATAAAATGGTTTTAAATTAAAATTAATTAATTCCTGAACAGGATGTGAATACTTTTAATTTAAATAAAAACATTATTAATAATTTAATTATTGCATTATAAGTAACAAAAATTATATTTAGAAAACTTTAAATTTTTGCATTAATTAAAAAATGATTGAATTTTAAGAAACACTTTTTGATAAAACATATTTTGAGAATCGTTAAAATACTAATCCAATTACTAATAGTAAAATATTTTTAAATCACAAGCCTAAGTAATCTCTTAAAGTATGTAAATAAACAAATAAATAATGTTAGATTTAAATAAATGTTAAATCTATATAAAATAAATATATTGACATTAAATTAGATCAAAAATTTGTGTGAAATAGTGTAAGCATTTAATTTGTTTGGTCTTCTCGTGTATAACATAAGCGCATAAATAAGAGCCAAAACGTTAAACATAACTGATATGACGACCGATGGTATGGTTGGCGGCCAGACATCGTTTCCCATATCAACGAAATGCCAAACAATGTCCACTTGAATGCTGAGGATTGACGTGAAGATAAGCGCTGGAAAACACTGTTTGACAATAACGCGAATGATTTCCATCGAAAATATAGTCATCAAAGTGATGATCAGCAAAGAATTGCCCAAATATAGACTCTTTGCTAATTCAGTGTCTAATTCACCGAAATTCATAAGCAATCGCTGATATCGTCGCTCGTTATTCATCGCATAATCAGTTATTGAGCTAATTATGAGACATATTCTCAATACGATTAACACATACTTTACTTTTGTGCAGTTGTCTGGAAATGCCATTAAATTCGTATTATGTATAATAACGGCTACTGATGGCTATGAATCACAAGAGAGTTTATTTCACACAAAATTAACTTTTCATTTATACAATAGAAAAGCCAACGAAGAGATCTATTTTAAAGGGGGAGAAGAATAACTGAAAAGAGAGAATGAAAATATATTTCTCAAAGTCTTTCTCTCTGTCTGTCCGTCAAAATCATAACAAATGATCGCCACTTTTGGAGAGGAGATGAAGAGTTGAATGAATAGTGAAGAAACATATAAAAAGGCATTTTGTTTTTATCCGCTTCTCATCGATCACTGGTAGAAATGGGTTTCAATGATGACATATATAAAAGCACTTCCTTTTCAATTGTATACCACAAACACTGGAGGGATAGAGGGATTAGAGTTCACTAAACATGTATATAAAACTCCCCTCCGATCGCAACTCTCCGGTTCTCTATATTTCTCTCTCTCTCTCTCTCTCTCTCTCTCTCTCTCTCTCTCTCTCTCTCTCTGCTATTGTGTTCATTAAATACAGTTATATTCGGCTTTAAATCCCGGAATCGACTCATACTCTCTATTGTACACTATATTAAAGTGCTTATGATTTTCTAGGGATATAATAGAGTAGTTAACAAAACAAACATCAAAAACCAAAGACACGGATCATTTGTGAGCTTATATTTAAATTTCAATAAACGAAAAAATAGACTTTCTCTGCATTTTTTATGCATTTTTATGAACTTTCTATGCTTTCACAAAGTTTTACAATTATTTTCATCCGGACTTACGGTGTCTCTCAAATGTATTATACATTTTTATTCATATGACTTCCAGATCCTCTTCCTTAACACTCGCGTGTATTGAAATAGATTTGAATACAGAGTGAGTAATCCAGCGATTGGTTTTTACATTTACAGAATATTCTGATTTTTATGCCATTTATTATTAAATTTTCACATATTTTCATACATTATTAGAGCAAAAACAAGAACTAACGAGACATTGAAAAATTTGTTGACAACATTTACTATTGATTTATAAAACAACATTTGTCTCTCGATTACCAGAAGTGATGAGAAATGCGAAACCAAACGCAATGACGATAACGACGAGTGAGAAGACGAGTTCGCAGATATGTATTGGAGTTAATTGAGTGTCAATATAGCCCACATCGAAGAGGAAGGCAATCAAACACAGTATTGTCATCACGAGTATTGGCGCAAAACTTTCACGTAATATAAATAAGACAAATATAATGGTGAATACGATTTGCAAAATGATTGTTATGATAATCGCCAAAAGGACTACCCGTCTGAGCGACTCCTTGTTTAGATAAGTGATGTCTTGACTCAAATCGTCGATTATCTGGTCGTGAATTAGTGCCATATTTATGGTCACAAACGCCGTGAACGCCACTCGCATCACAATTAATGTATATTTAATACGTTTATAGTAATTATGTTTTATGATATCCATCATTATATAACGTGTAAAAGTAATATATTAATAACAAAAGGCAAAATAAAAAGCAATATTTTTAATTTATTTTCAATTACAGCACATCCGACAAACAATTTATATATATTATTACACAGATATATATCAATACAGTATTCTCTCGCCAGTAATCAAACCTTTTTGTATTGAGACAACTGCTCTCTGCGTTCACTCCATCCCTGAACCAAACAAATAGAAAGGGAGATGCAATTTGTGCTAATATGACATGTGTTGATAGGTTTCATATAATGACAAATTCATAGTATTTACGACTTTTCATATATTCAACCAAATATTCTTCACTAAAACCTTATGTAATCTATAATTAAATATTTTTGTCGATTCTCTCGTACTTGATATATAAAGTCAATATATATTTCCAAACATCTACTTTATAAAGAAATTGCTAAAAATAAAACTCAACAAATATTTATAATATCTTCTTTGCAATTAATGTATCGCAAACTCTTTCAAAAGATTGCGACTTCTTTTATGTTTTATGTAACTTATTATACATTTCATATAACATTTGTCTTATAATACATTTAATTAAATATGAATTGTAAATATTGTTTCTTAAATACAAATTGAATACATTATGAACAATAACAGATATATTAGATTGCAATTTGTGAGGACTTTATTACTTTATTAATAGTGTTTAAGAGTTTAACAACTCATTTATAAGTAATTTGAATTGTAATCAAAGTAGTTATAAATACATTGAACTTCACATAAAGTATAGATTTAATATAGATGTCAAGAAAAAAAGTTTTATATAACAATAATGAGTGACTTTTATCGATAAATTGAACAAAAGGAGGGAATAATGAGTGCCGGAAAGGATT